CGACTGACCATCCGTGCTACCCGGCGGGCTGCCTCGTCGTGCAGACATCCTTCACCATGCACGGCGCTTGCCCTTTTACCAGGAGTCCATGCGACTCCAGTTTGACGAACTCCTCAGTATTAAGTGCGCCTGCCGCCCGCCATCCTGCCTGCTCCTCCGCCTCTCGTGCATGGGTGCCCCCATTTCCCCGTGAAGCTGACTGCCTCGCCTGCTTGTGTACATTGCATGCGCGCGCCCGCCCGCCCGCCCATCGCACAGGCGCGCTGTCCTCGAGCTGTCGGGACACACGAAGGCCGCCAACGAGCGCATCGCGCGCAGCATGCACGAAGACATCACCAAGCCGCTGAAGACCCTGCAAAACCGCCTGGCCGAAGTGGCCGGCCATGTGGACTTCATCCACCAGCAGAGGCATCTGATTGGCGAGCATGCCGGCGAGCTGGTGGCCCTCGCCGGGTGGTATAATGCCCTCTCCCTCGGGGCGTACGATGCGCTGGTGCTGGAGGCTGCCCGGCGCCGGGCCTCCTGGGGCCACCGGCAGCTGGTGTTCGCCGCTTTGCGGTCCCTGCTCGGGGAGCTGGAGCGCGCGGAGGACGAGACATGCGCCGCCTTCGACGAGCAGTTTGCCCACTATCTCCCGCCGTCGCTGGTGGAGCTGATCCGGGTGCGTGTGGCCGTGCCCAATGCCCGGATGGGGGGCCCCATCGGCTGCCGGCGCGTGCCAATATCTCTAACCACTTCCCCCCTCCCTCCCTCCCTCCCTCCCTCCCTGCGATTGCCTGCGCATGCCCATGCAGGAGCCCTATCTCTTGACGGACTTCATCCACAAACCGGTCGGGCATTTTATGCATCCGTACATCCCGCGCGAGGCCTTCCTTCAGGTACGTCACGCGTGGCCCTCGGCATTCGTTTCTCTGGCCGGCCGCGCACCGTACTAAATGTCGGCCATGCTCGCTCTCCTCCCTGCCCTTCCCCCCCCCCTCGGTAGTCGCAGGAGCGCCTCCGCGCGGCCGGCTTCCAGCCGCTCATCGCCGACCACGAGCGCCTCCTGCCCGAGGCCACATCGGCCCTGGCCTTCGATCTGGATCCCCAGCTGGCCGGCTATGCCTCGTCGCCATCCCTGGCTCGACAGCTCAATAGCTTCATTCGCGCCAGTCTACCGGGGGCGGCCGGGCGGCCGGGCGTGGCCCTGTCAGCCACATCGGCCCCGGTGCCGGCGCCGGTGACGGCCACCCTGATTGCCCTTGAGACCGGGGATGCCAGCGCCAGCAGCGCCGAGTCCTTCTCCCTGGACCTGGGCATGATGACGGAAACCGACGAGCGGGCAATCTCGCCCGTGGAGCAGCCACGCCAGAGCACCATCGAGGTGGAGGACCACCGGCTGTCAGCCCGGCGGCCGACCTCCCTGCCGGCGGTGGAGCAGCGCCTGGTCAACTTGTCGGTGGCGTCGGCCGGGCTGGCGGGCCCGGCGCACTCGGGCCCGGACGCGCCGCCGGCATTGCTGGCGGCTCGACGGACGCACTCCAGTCCGCACGGGGCCAGCACCGGGTTTGGCATTGCACCGGCGGCGCTGCACTCGCGGTCGGACGATCGCCTGCCCCTGGACCTGCTGAATGGCGGGGCGCCGGGGGGGCTGGCCGGCGATCGGCCAGCCGGGGGCGTTCGGCGGCCGCAGTCGGCCGCCGGTGGCCGGGGCTTCTCCCCCGGCATCCATGCGGTCCCGGTCTTTTCGTCGCATGCCAGCCCTGGGGACAGTCCCGTGAGCAGCCGGCCGGGCAGCTTGGCCCCCAGTCGGGCTACCAGCCCGCTGGCCAGCCCGCGCATCGAGACGCGCAATCTGCAAGCCCTCTCCCCGGGGACGCTGCTGCAGCCACTGTCGGCCGGGGTCGTCGGTGGGGGCGCGCACCGGGCCCCAGGGCCTAGTGGTGCCCGGTCGCAGCCGCCGACTCCGCAGCCCCCCCGGCTGCGCCGGCGCCGTGCGGTGGCCCTGCCGGCCGGGTCCCCCGGATATGGCATGGTCACCGGCGGGGGCAGCGATGATGATGGTGGCGATGGCGGCCGCGGCCGCAGGGACCCCGGCCTTGGCAATGGCGGCCACGACGGTGATGATGATGATGATGATGACGATGATGATGATGATGGTCATGACGGTGAGGACGATGATGATGACGATGAGCAGGCGCTGGTGGCGTCGCCTCGCAGGCGGCCCGGTGGCAAGCTCCTCTTTGCCTCGCGCTCAACCGACAACCTCCAATAGCATAGTCGTGCCGTGTGTATGGACGAAGGGCGCCGGCGGATCGGGCAAGACAGCCGCCCTGGCACTTGGGCAGGGGGGGGAGGGGGGGACGGCATGCGCTCGTGCGCTCGTGCGCGCTTCGACGATGGTGCACGCCGCCCCGGTCGCGCCCTCTGCCCACGCCTCCCCTGTCCTGGCATCTGGCGAAATGCACTCTCCAAAAACCAAGTGTTAGTTAATGTCTCGGTTAAACACGCTCGCCCGGGATCGCGTGACGCCCCTTGCTGTTCCGACCGGGCCCGGCCATCCTGGTGCGCCGGGGGGGGGG